GCCTTTGTGAGTTCAGGCCGCGCGGGCTGGAGCGGGCAACTTGAATTTCGATGGGGCGAGCCGGCAGGCCCAGCTTTTCGTGCCAGCAGGGGCGCAGCATCACCAGGCCATCATCGGCGCGCCACCAGACACTACACCCAGTTCAGCTCTCCAGACGCCCGCCGGCTGCGACAGCGACCATAGTGAGACTTGAGGTTGTCGACACAGCGTCAGCCCCCACAGCATCAGGAATGGGTTCATGCCCACGCAGATGCCTTCTGCTCGGCGCCAGGCCAGGGCATCGTGCGCCCGCGTCAGTGCCGTTTCACAAGAGCCTATTGCCACGCGTCATCATCAAAGGTATGCGGCTACGGATGTTCGGGCGCGCCGTTGGCATCCGTCTTTCGCCTTTGACTCGTTGTCGAGGTTCCATCCGCCGTTCACTCGCCTCTGTGGCCCGTTCCCGACCAGTCGGGCGATCACGGTAATGTTCTGACTCGAAACTTCATTTGAGGTTGTCGACGCAGCGTCAGCCTCCGCAGCTCCGCGGCATCAGGAATGGATTCATGCCCACGCAGATGTCTTCTGCTCGGCGCCAGGCCAGGACATCGTGCGCCCGCGCCAGTTTCTTTTCACCAGACCCGGCTGCCACGCGTCATCACCAAACATGGCCGGGCGTCTCCAGGCCCTCCCTGCCTATAGGCTCGGAGTCGCCCGCAGGAGGGAGCACCTTTGCGTGCACGCGGGGATCTAGCCAATGGGTTACGGTCGAACAACAAAAAGACAGGCCAAGAGCGCCAGAGGACCAATCAAAACAGGCCCGAAGGCGGGAACAGGAGGCCCCAAGAGGCACCCGAGAAACTTCCAGGACCCCCCAGAGGCCCCCACCAAACCCCAGTATGTTGAGATGCCTCCCAAAAAAAAACCCTCGAGGCTCCAAACAACAGCCCAAGAGAGCTCCGAAAGCCGTCCCGAGAGAGCCCGACGAGGGTCAGATTGCTGATTTTCCTATGTGTTTCCGAGGTTGTTGGCCGTCTCACGTTTTCAAGCTTCCAACGCTCCAAGACAGCCAGAGATAGGCGCCCAAGACGGCCGAAGGGGGCCCCAGGACAGGCCCAAGATGGGCCCGAGAGCGAGAGCAGGAGGCCCAGGATGCCTCCGAGAGGCCTCCAGGGCCTCCCAGAGACGCCCAACAAACCCCAGACCCTTGAGAGGCCCCCCCCAAAAAAAAAACGACGAGGCCCCAACAACAGCCACGGAGAGGCCTCAAAACTGCCTCCCAGGAGCCCCCTGCAGGCCTCCTGGGCCCCCCCCCGATTCCTGCGCACTACATGGTAGGAGGCCCGACTTGAAAAACAGATGGAATTCCAGCGATTCCAATTTTTTTAGAACGTCACCCCGAGCCCCATCAAGACTTCGGGGTCGCATTTCAAAGATTCTTAGGCTTACGCCACACCGCCGACCCCTTGTTTATGCCAATCTGGGGGTAGTAGAAGCTGCGAAGGGGTGAAAAGGCGAGTGATATTTGTTTGGTGTCTGTTCGCCGCCACCGCCAGAGGGTCTCGGGCAGTTCCGCGGGGAGGTCCGAGCGGACAGCGACACTGCGAGTTTTGGAGCCACTCGGGGGCCGTTTCGGAGCCTCTGGGGTGCTTCTTGGGGGTTCCTTGGGGCGTCTGGGCGGCCTCGTGAGGGCCTCTGGGGGCCTCTTGGGGCACTCTTGGGGCCCCCTGGGGCTCCTGGGGGCAGAAAGCTAGAGTTTCAACATGTTTGGTCGCCCTCTTGGGCCCCTCGTGGTGCCGTCTTGGAGCCCTCTTGGGCCGTCTTGGGGACCTCTTGGGCCGTGTTGGGGCCGTCTTGGGCCGTCTGGAGGCCGTCTTGGGGGCCTCTTGGGCCATCTTGGGGCTGTCTTTGGGGCCTCTTTGGCCGTCTTGGAGCGTCGGGAAGCCGAAAAGGCGGAAAAGCAAAACACATCGAAAAACACTATGGAAAATCAACAATTTTAGACTCTTGGGGCCCTCTTGGGAGGCTTGTTTGGGACCTCGGGGGCCGTCTTGGAGACCTCTTGGCCCGTCTTGGGGCCATCTTGGGCGTCTTGGAGGGGTCGTTTGGCGTCTCGGAGCCTTCGTGGGCCGTCTTGGAGGCCTCTTGGGCTTCTTGGCCCGTCTTGAGGCCCTCTTGGGCCCGGAAAAGCCCTGGAACCGCTCGTCCCGGCCGTGCTGCGCTCGTCCTGGCCCCCTCCCCGCCTCCAAATCGGCCCTCTTGGGCCGTCTTGAGGACCTCTTGGGCCGTCTTGGGGCCGTCCTGGGCCGTCTGGAGGCCGTCTTGGGGGCCTCTTGGGCCATCTTGGGGCTATCTTTGGGGCCTCGTCGCGCGTCTTGGAGCGTTGGGAAGCCGGAAAGGCGGAAAAGCAAAAAACGTCGAAGAACACTATGGAAAATCAACAATTTTAGACTCTTGGGGCCTTCTTGGGAGACTTGTATGGGACCTCGGGGGCCGCCTTGGAGACCTCTTGGCCCGTCTTGGGGCCATCTTGGGCGTCTTGGAGGCGTCGTTTGGCGTCTCGGAGCCTTCGTGGGCCGTCTTGGAGGCCTCTTGGAGCCTTCTTGGCCCGTCTTGAGGCCCTCTTGGGCCCGGAAAAGCCCTGGAACCGCTCGTCCCGGCCGTGCTGCGCTCGTCCCGGCCTTCTCACCCCCTCCAAATCGGCCCTCTTGGGCCGTCTTGAGGACCTCTTGGGCCGTCTTGGGGCCGTCCTGGGCCGTCTGGAGGCCGTCTTGGGGGCCTCTTGGGCCATCTTGGGGCTATCTTTGGGGCCTCTTTGCCCGTCTTGGAGCGTCGGGAAGCCGAAAAGGCGGAAAAGCAAAACACATCGAAAAACACTGGAAAATCATCAATTTTTGACTCTTTGGGCCCTCTTGGGAGGCTCATTTGGGACCTCAGGGGCCGTCTTGGAGACCTCTTGGCCCGTCTTGGGGCCATCGTGGGCGTCTTGGAGCGGTCGTTTGGCTTCTCGGAGCCTTCGTGGGCCGTCTTGGAGGCCTCTTGGGGGCTTCGTGGCCCGTCTTGAAGCCCTCTTGGGCCAGGAAAAGCCCCGTGGAGCGCTCGTCCCGGACCCCCCCCCCCCTTGAACCGCTCGTCCCGGACCCCCCCCCCCCCTCCAAATCGACCGGACCGGGCTCCCGGGGGAGGGGTTTGGGGAGGGGGAAGCATCTCACACGCCGATGATCCCCAAGGGGTCGGCGGATTTGTAGGGAATGTTGTTGAGCTCTCTGGCGCTGTCTTCTCCTGGGTCGTCTTCGTGTCCTCTTGGTTGCCCCGGAAGAAGGCCGTCAAACATCGAGATCCCATGAGTTCACTTATCCAGCCTAGCTAGAAATTCAGCGCGCGCGCCAAGAGGGAACAACGAGAGAGAACCTCCCCAAGCCTTTCGAGCGCTTTGCCCTAAGATGGCCCCAGGGTTCTTACAAAGGCTCCCAAGGCGCCCCCCGGATGCCTTCAGACACTCCCAAGGAGGCTCCCAGGAGGCACTAAGAGCGCCCTAACATGTCCCGACAAATCATCCAAGACGCCGCTAAGAAAGCTCCGAGATGCATCCCAACAGACAATGGGATGCATTCTGGAGACTTCTGACCCACAGCCCAGGCACGGCAATTTGAATGAAGGGAATTCCCACAAATATGTGTTTCTCAAGTTCGCTCCCCTGTGCACTCTTGCACAACAGACCACAATAAAGGCCACCGTCACCACCCAAGAAAGATCTCAGGAATCCTTTGATGATCCCAAATTGTCGCATACCTAAAGACAGCTGATGATTTCGCGTTTCCGCATTGTCCCTTTATACGTTTCCGAGGCTTGCGCAGAATCTCCAAGAGAGTGATGCAGGGGACGTCAAACATCATATTCCATTCGTTAGCCTACCCAGCCTAGCTAGAGCTAGAGCGCGCGCGAGGCTCGCGCAATGTTTCTAGTAAACACGTATGTATCTATGTATGTATGTGTGTATGTATGTATGTATGTATGTACGTATGTATGTATATAGGTACGTATTTATGTATGTATGTACGTATGTCTGCATGCAGTCATGCATGCATGCATGCATGCATGTATGTATGCATGCATGTATGTATGCATACAGACATGAATACATACTGGAGCTTCGAGTTTGTAGACATATTTGGGCCCAAGAGGCGCTTTTCATGGCCCCAGGACGGAATTTTGGAGTCGACTTGTTGCAGTCGAGCGGCGGAATGGCGGAGGGCTCTGGGGGGGGGGGGGCTCAAAGGGGGGCTAAAGCCTTGTGAGGAGCCCCCTCACTTAATGCTCACACGCCGCTCAGCTCGGTGGGCGGGTGGAACTTTCGTGCCGACCGGGCATTTGTTTCATTATTCAAGATGCTTACGCCATTCCGCCGACCCCCCAACGAAATAATAGACAGGGTGAGACAATATTGGAGGCATGTTGGAGTCTCTTGTGATACCTCTCAACAGCCTCTTGGAGCGTTCGTCGAGGCATCTGGGGATTCTGTTCGCCGAACAAACACACATGAAAGCATCATTGGTATTTTTATGTACAGATGCATGTATGCGTACATTTATACATATATGTATACACACACGTTCTGCGGTGGTCGGCCCCCCGTATCTTCGTCATCGGGCGAGGGGGACATTGCATTGGATTGGTATCCCCCATGGCTTCGAGGCTCTCACACTCTCTCTCTCTCTCTCCCTCTCCCTCGCGCCCTCCCTCCGTCCCCCCCCCCCCTCCTCTCTCTCCCTCACTCTCCTCCCCATCCTCCCTCTCTCCCTCTGTCTCCGTCCCCGTCTCCCCGTCTGTGCCCCTCCGTGTCGCTCGATCTCTCTTGCCCTTTCTCTCTCTCACTCCCTCTTTCTGTGTATTCTCTCTCTCTATTTCTCCCGTCTCTCTCTCTTTCCCTCATTCGTTCTCTCTCTCTCTCTCTCTCTCTCGCTCTATGTCATTATGTATCTCTCTGGTTCTCTCGCGGTTTCCACCCCGCCTTGGCGCAGATGGCGGAGTTGCGAAAGAAGATGATGGAGGAAAAGCAGAAGAGGGAAGAAGCGGAAGCTGCTGCTAAGGTGCGGCTATTTTCATGTATGATGAAGGTATCGTGTCCGCTATTTTCATGTATGATGAAGGTATCGTGTCCGCCTCTCGTGCTTCTCGAGGAGGTAGGAACGAGCAGTAGAGGGAAGATGCCATATTCATTTGGGTGCGTTCTTCTTGGTTGTCCCCCTCAAATTGCATCGGCGCCCGACTCGTGAATCTGAGTTGATCGGATATCGGTATCTTTGCTCCCTCCCCCACCCACTCTCGCCTCGCGACTGTAGCGAGTGAAGTGATTTCCGCCGCTATTGGCTTAAGTCTGTTGGCCTGCGTTGTCCCACATACCACGGTACGATGCATGTGCCGCAATTGGCGGCCCATCTTCACGTTCTCCGCCCCCTTCCCCCTTCTTGTCTTCTTTTCGGCTTCGTTTGTTGTTGATCATGTTTCTATGTATCCATACCCACCCCCCTCCTTCATCTTCCTTTTCCCCTACTCCCCTGCTCGTCCTTCTTGGCCTCGCCATCACGTTTCCTGTCCCTCCTGTTTGGTCTCTCTACATGGATATTCGCCGCTTTCTTCCTATGTGTGTGTGTGTGTCTTTCCACCTCCTTCTCTCTCTCTCTCCTTCTCTCCGAGTGGAGGAGAAGGAAGAGGCGGAGAAGGAGGAGGAGGAGGAGGAACAGGAGGAGGAGGAGGAGGAGGGGGAAAGGAATGGGGGGCAGGGGCAGAGGGGGGCGGGGGGCAGGGGGAGGAATAGGGAGGAGGAGGAGGCTGACTGAGGAGGACGACGCTCCCCCTCTCCCGGCGGCGGCGGGCAAACGCGTCCGCACGGAGGCCGACGGGGAGGAGGGCGCCGAGGGCGGGGAGAAGCCCGACGGCAGCGGGACCAAGGACGAGGAGGCGGCGCGGGGGCCGTGCGAGGATGACGGGGATGGCAATGGCGGCAGCAGCGGTCTGACCAACCCTGAGATTTGGGCGTTGCGTTTCTCTTTACCCCGGGCGTTTTTGCCCAAGGTCGGGCCGTGGGGCCATCACAGGTCGAAGGCGAAGATTGCCGCGGGAAGACAGGGTCTGTAGGCATTTCGTTCGCGATGTTGTATTTGGTTGGCAGCGTCGGACTTCACAGGGTCGGAGGTTGGGATGTGAGATCGCAGTGGGAAGGGAGAGCCCCCCAACCATGAAATCGGTTTCGGTTTCATGTTCGCGTCGTGCCTGCTGGCGAGGCGAAACTGCGCGGGCGCCCGAGAGGAATGACCCCGCCGTCGCTAGGGATGCAGTGGACCGCACCTGTGCCCCCGCTGGGCGCGCGGTGGCCCTGGGTGCCCCACCGTGGTGTGCTGTGGTGTCACGTTGGTGTCCCGTTGGTATCCCGTCGGTGTCCCGTCGGTGTTCCGTCGGCGGTGGGCGGGCGGTGGCCGGGGGTGTCACGCCTTGGTATCCATAGTGAAGTCGATAGTGGGATCGATAATGATATCGCTAGACTGGGGTGGATAGTGAGATCGAAGGTGAGATCGACAATGATATTGATTGTGGCATTGGTTGTGAGATCAATCGTGAGATCGATATTGAGATTCAAAGCAAGATCTATAGTGAGATCTATAGTCAGATCGACCGAGTGTGATCGATCCTGTGAGGTCGATAGTGGGATCGATCAAGTGAGATCTAAAGCGGGGAAGATTGTGAAATTGCACCTCAGCGCAACGTCGTCATCGCGCGTCGTCGCTAAATCGAGGGCGCGTCATCAGCATCAGCATCAGCATCAGCATCATCATCATCATCATCATCATCATCATCATCATCAGTATCAGTATCATTATCATTATCATTATCATCATCGTCATCATCATCATTATCATCATCATCATTATCATCATCATCATCATCATCATCATCATCATCATCATCATCATCATCATCACCACACCCATCGCATTTGCCAGCAATTGGTTAAAACTCCGTCTCACCCGAAGGGTGGTCGTACAGGTAGTTATGACAGCGCCCAGCTCTCCTTCCGTCGTGGCTCCCGAGGGGCCTTGGGCTGGAGGGTGGGGGGTAGGGCCTTCTCCGGCAGCCTGGCCACGCCGGGTCGAGTGTCAATCGGGGTCCTCCAAACCAGGACGTTGCAAACCAGGACCTTTGAAAATTCCACCTGGCGAGAGCTCACGGTGGAGAGTGTGAGAATATTTCGACCCATGGCTGCAGTTCCCTCGGGCGTTCCAAAGTCCTGACTTATCAGAAGCCCCCGCTTGGGGGGCACTGAGACAAAGACGCCGGCCATCGCGCGAGTCTGCCCTGTGCCGTCTGGAGGGCGGCCGATCAGCGGCCGAGCTGCCACCTACTGGATGCCTGCGCCGGGCGCAGGCGTCACTCGGCGTAGCCTTGCCTGCTGCTCGCCTACGCGGCGCTGGCGACGAAGGGGCTCTAGCTTGCGTGGCCAATCAGTTTGAGATTGTTCAATCATCCTCTGGCGCGTAGCGCACGTAGCGCTTGGGGGAGCTGGACTGGACCCCCCCTCCACCTGCTAGTGCCCGCGAGCATGCTATGGCGATCGCAGCGCACCCCCGCCCCGACGTGCCCCACCCCGCCTAAGCGTTGCCGTTACCCAGGAGCTCGAGCCCCCCCGGGTAACAAATCACAAAGCAATATTTTGGCTGGCGTTTCACGGTGTTCGTCCATTGGGCGCCCGTTGCCATTTCGTTCCCGCCTCTTGCGATGGCTGGCGTTTCTGGGTTTGCGTCCCGCAGCCGCCCGTTGCCCCTTCGTCTTCTTCGCCGTGACTGACGTGCCCAGTTCCTGCGTCTGGAGTCTTTTTTTATTCCGGGCCGATGGCGGCCGTCATTTGGGGGGGGGGCGGAGGGGGCCGATGATGTTACGTTTCGCGCTGGCGGCGTCAGGGAATGCCTAGGAATGACCAAGAACGGGTAGCAGCAGCATGTAGGTGGCGATCTGCATCACAGCGCCTGTGTACACCACAGTGCTTGCGTGCACCACAACGCCTGTGTACATCACACCGCCTATGTACACCACAGCAGCCGCGGGCAACACAGGGCCAGTATGTGCCACAGTGCTTGCGTGCCCCACACCGCGCGTGTACACCACAGCGCATGCGTACACCACATCCACAGCAGCTGTGTACATCACGGCGCCTGTGTACACCACAGCGTCCGTGTGCACCACGGCGCCTGTGTACACCACGGCGCGCGTGTGCACCGCAGTAATTGCGTACAACAGAGCATCCTTGTTATATATCGAATTTCCGACGGAATTCTTATGATAACATGGAGCGCCTGTATATTCCAAAGAAGACGAGTGTTTGATTATAGGATTTTGAAAGGAGTCCTTTTGGAAAAAGGAGCGCCGCTGGAATTTACGAGTCCTCCCGCATCATCCTAAAACCTCCCATCTGCGACCACGAGGCTTCCGCAGAATTGGCCGTCAGAGAACCAAGTGGACTGATTCAATCGACCACTCTGCGGTGCAAGTTGAGATGCGCACGTGCGCTGTGGCGCCGACGCGCACGACGGGGGGAGGGGTGAGGGAGGAGGAGGAAGAGGAGGGGGGATGAGGGAAGAACACTTCTCTGGCGTGGTGTTTGGTTTTTCGCAACAAATCCTCAGTGACATGTTCCTTCCACTCGTCCTTTTGCACGCAAGCGTTGTGGTGTGCACCAGCGCTGCGTTGCACGCGGATGCTGTGGTGTATACAGGCGCCTTGGTGTGCACAGGCGCTGCGGTGCACGTAAGCAACGGTGTACAAAGGCGCTGTGTTGCACATGGCTGCTGCGGTGTGCACATTCGCTGTAGTGTACACAAGCGTTGTGGTGCACGCAATCTTTATGATGTGCACAGGATGTGCGTTGCACGCGGCTGTTGCGGTGTGCGCAGGCATCGTGGTGTACACGCACGTTGTGGTGCACGCGAGCACTGTGGTGTAGCAGGCGTTGTGCTGCACATGGTTGCTGCGGTTTACACGCTCCGTGTGGTGTACAGCGGCGCTGTGGTGTACGTGAAAATTGTGGTGTACACAGGCGCTGCGTTGCACACGGCCGTTGCGGTGCCCGTAACCAGTTTGGCTCAAGATGCCACGTCTCCCGCGAGGCGGCGTGGACACCGCTAGTCCGCGGCCATGCCCTGCATCTCTTTCCTCGGTCGAACTGCGCGCTGCCGAGTGGTTCCGCGCCACCCAGTTCTGTTCCAGGACGTCTGGCCAGCAATGATTTTCTGGAAGTGCGGTGGTTGTGGCGCCTTCAACCCGCAGGGGCGGGCCAAACGCACGTTCTGCGAGCAGGGGCGGCCCTGGCGCTACTGGGCGCAGGGTCGCCGCCGCGGCGGGAGCGGCAGCGGCGGCGGCTCGGGCGGGGGCAACGGCGGCCAAGGCGGTCGGAAACCCTCGGCGCCGTGGGCTCGGAGCGCCGACGGCCAGCGCCCCACCGCCAGCGCGTGGCATCCGCCGCGCGTCGACGGCAAGCAGCTCCAGCGCGCGGCCGAGCTGCCTGCCGAAAAGTGGGAGGCTGCCAAGGAGTTTTTCCCGCAGGCGCAGGTTGACAAGGTTGTAGCCAGGAGGGCTGCCCGCGCCAGCGGTCTCCGTGCTGCCCGCGAGGCCACCACGGAGTTCGAGCGCATCGGCAGGAAGCTCAAGGCCGAGGACGCCAAAGAGCAGCGCATGGCAGCCGACATCTCAGATCGCCTGCTCAAGCTGGACGCTAAGCAGGCCCTCGTCTGAGCCCTCCGCGAGTCGCACGAGGAGGCCCGTGCTGCGGCAGCCTTGGTCTTCTCAAGCGCGGCCCAGCCCCCTGCCGCGGAGCTGCTCGAGAAGGTCGCCGCCCTCAGCTCGTTAGGCAAGGACCCCGCGGCCCTCGTCAAGGAGCTCCTTGAGCAGGTCGCGGCCTTCGCCAAGGCTTCGGTCGCACCGCCGGCGGGCTCGGCAGGCGGAGCGGCCGCCACCCAGCCACAGCACCACGGAATCCCACCGGCAGGGGCGCAGGCCGGGCACAGGCCCGAGCTGGACGCCAACCGCCTCAGGGCGGTCCTCTCTACAAAAGACCCTGCTGGCCTTCTTGCTCACTTTGCTGACGGTGGCGAGCGCGAGCGGATCGGCGACGCGATGGCCCTCCTGCGGGAGCACGTCGGCAATGAGTTCCGCGGAGGACCTGGACCCGCAGGCTCCGCCGACGGTCCAGCAGCGGCTGCCACGCCCCCCCCGCGGCTGCTGCCCCCGCCGCCTCCCCGAGCTAAGGGGGCACCCGCCAACGGTAGCATCTGGCGTGGCCTCTCATTGAACGCGAACGCCTACGCTACTCTGGACCGCCTTCTGGGAAAGGACGACCTCAGGCAGTGCGACTTCGTCGCCGCCCAGGAGTCTCACCTTTCCATCGACCGCGCTGAGGTGGCAGCTCGGCTGGGCCGCCAGGGCTGGCGGACCCTAGCCGCCCCTGCCACCGACGCCGACGGTGACCGCCCAGGCCATGGAGGCCTGATCAGCCTCGCCCCCAGGCGCCGCGGCCTCGGGTGCTTCGAGGTCGACGGGCTGCGCAGCGGTGTGCTCGTCCCAGGCCGAGCGCCCATCGCGCGCCACAGCGGCGTCATCAGAGGGGGCTTCGTGTGGAGCAACGTCTACCTCCACACCGCCGAGGGCCTCTCGGCCGCCAACCTCCTCATTCTGGATGCTCTGAGGTCGGCCGTGCAGTGCCCAGGCCTTCCTTTCATCGTCGGCGGCGACTTCAACATGACGCCGCAGCAGCTCTCCGAGGCCGCGTGGCTCGGGCACATCAACGGCGTGGTCATCAGCCCGACGGCCGGCAGCACCGCCAGGCCCTCGGAGCGCGTGATCGAGTACTTCGTGGTCCCACCGTGCCTCGCCTCGGCCACCGCCACAGCGCTCCTCGATCGGGACATCGGGCC